AATCAATGCAAAATTTTTTTTATTGAATTTGTTGTCACTCATGAAAATTGAAATCAATGCAAAATTTTTTTTATTGAATTTGTTGTCACTCATGAAAATTGAAATCAATGCAAAATTTTTAGTGAATTTGTTGTCACGATAAATTGACGGAACGTTGACGAAATACTTGTTCTGTATTGTATCGTCTACAATATTTCAGTGCTGAATTTTCTACCTGATCCGGTTAGATCTTATCATATCGCTACTCACGACTGAATGAATCAAAAAAGAATTGAATAGCTTTAATTTTAAAATATTCGAAAGATAATGCTTAATTTCAAAAGGGTTTTATTAATTCGCTTTTTATTGATCTAATTGTTTTATAAATGCCATGAAGAGTTAATAATGTTAAGCAGGTATTATGGAATGTCTTGAAAAACATTTCATGTAAAAGGTCCCAATGTGGTTGTTTTTTGGTATTTATTCATAGTGAGCTTTAAGATCATTATGTTGATGCGATTTACAATTATTACGATAATAATAAACGGAGTCTTCGATAAAATTGGAGCTGAAAGTGCTATATCTGATATGAACACCAAAATACTTCCAAAGAGTTTTTTAGTATTTTCAAACTTAAAACGATCTGAAAACTTTGGTCGATATGTTGAAGCGAAAGGTTTGTAATCATACACTCTTGATAATATATCATTACCTTGTTTAAGATTATGGATGGTTCATGTTCAAGTAATCAAATCGACCAATGTCACAAAGATATTTTGCAAAACAGATTCTCAAAAGCTGAATCATTACGATATAGAAAATATGAGGAGTAGAAGGACACATTGTTTGCTGATTGAGCTTTGGATGTGGAATTCGTTGCAAAAGCTCTTGTTGATATGCAATACAAGGTAAAAGTGCAATTATATCATTTCAGAAATGGACAATGGCCAGCTCGTAACTTTAAAAACTGATAGAATTTCACGAATTTCGCTTGAATTTTATCATTGGACCAATTTCACAAATTGTTTATATATTTATATAATTTAGATTTCCCGTTGCAATTATTATGGTTTTTTAGCCTAAGCAAACATTATTATTGAATGACTGGAATTTTCTGAAAATTTATAAATAACATTTGACTTGAAGGAGCCATACGATGTACTGACAGAAGCACATATTAAGGTGGATGATCTAAATAACATCGAGGCTTACGAATGTTATCAAGATATGATTACTTAATCATGATAAGATTATCTGTTGTGTTTGGGTTCAAAAATTAAATGTTTATTCCGGGAGTTAATCGACATTTACAATTATTCAACTAGGCTTAACTAACATCTGAAGAAAGCGATTTTTTTGGAAAACAACTGATCTGTTGATTTATTTCATAGGGTGATTATAAAGGAGTTTCGACAGATCGTTATTACAAGAAGCAATAATTTAAACTATTTCAAAAAAGATATTTCATCCCATTGTCTTTTATTTAAATTTATTTTATATGAATCCGTTCCAAACTTGTTTAATTTCCATGCTATACTTTTGCAACAACCAATGATAACAGGGAAAGAGCAAAAACTTATCAAGTGGATAGTGTAATTTTCTGATTTGGATAAAGTCATAAGATAAAGGTCATAGCACTTGTAATGGAAGAAGTAGAATTTTCATGCATTATGCACTGCAGTCAACATCAGTTATTGATCAGTAGCATCAAATTTTCACTGTGTAATGATAGCTCTGATATAGCAGTGATAAATAAGCGGATAGCAGATACTGAAGTGATAAATAATTTGTCGAAGTAACAGAATTCAATGGTAGGGGCATTTAAAGCATCTCAGCTGTAGTCTGAGCTCATTTTAATTTGAAATGTAGCATTCAAGTATAACATATGCATTTTTGCCTAATCACAAATTCTCACGAATCTTTTACACTAAGTTATTTCACACCTTTTGTTTTCGCAATTCATACTTTTCATACATCAGTTACAACGACCAACTCAAATATCAATTAAACTGAAAGTCTCTTTTATAAATTTAAACAAATCAAATCAATTTTACAATTGGATTTTACAACTCTATCTTTATCATTTGAATCAGACAGCTTTAGTAAGAAGATACTATTTTCTAACATTTTTACTCATCCATCTTACACTATTAGCTCAAATAATATGTTGCAATGCAAGTAGAATTAGCACAGATCAGTGATAATGATAGACAATGTTTGTAAGTGTTAAAAGTCTGGATGAACTAGATTAAATTTGTGCAATTGTCAATAAACCAATCATTAAATTGCATTCTTCCGTTGGTTTCAATTCACTATAAAATTTAGCAAATTCCTTGTAGTTATCAACTGATCTTTGTTAATTAGCTTCATTCATTTATTATTCCATACTTCTTAATCATATTACCGGTTTATTTAAGAAAAAAAATCAGCCATGAAGTATTTTTAGCGCCCTTTTTGTAATTTATTCATTCATTTATGCATAAATTATAACAATTATATTATTGAGATGAGAACGTGCATTGATGAGAGAAAATGCATTCAAATCTGAATTCTATCACATCAAATCATATCGGGCGGGGTGCAGTTGTCCTCAATTAAAATCTCCCCAGCACTTCATGCCTCGAGAAACGGTTTCTCTTCATTATTGCACATTTAAATGGTTGATCTGCAAAGAATTCACTTTTTGATTGATTATTTCTTGACCCTACATACTACTGTAAATATTTCGGGAACACAAAATTACTTATATTTTTTTGTCATTTATTACTGAAGCGTTTTGATTTCATTTTGTTTACTAATTTTTGTCCATTCAGTAATTTGTCCAAATTATTTCTAATTCATTACTGTTTCACTGACATCTTCCTGTAGCGTTACAAAAGTAAAAATTGTTTTTGTTGATTAAAAAGAGCAAACAAAAAGAAATAATTTTGTCTTAATCATTCTAAAGCTGTTTTAAAATGCTATTTGAACCAATCTTAATATAAAATTAGCCAACATTTTTGTTAGCAATTATCCTTAGATGCTATCAGTTCTTATATCCTCTTTATAATCATGCATTAATTATCACTATTACATTCATACAGCGTCATTCACTCAAAAACTATTTCATATTATTAAAAAATTTAACCTTTCTAACGATCGAAGTCGATATGTTTGCAAGCAAAATGATAATTTTGCTATCTTAAAAAAGCTCGCAAACAGAACAGAGTAAATTAATTGATTAATTCTGTAATTTGTTCTTTTTTTTGATTCCAAATTAATACTGCTGAAAAAATTTTTTCCTCATTCTTTCTTTATTATCATTGATGTATTATAAAAAAAATGTATAATTTTCTAGTGAAATGAGAGAATCTCTCAAATCATACAGAGAATTAATAGTTATTGAAATTGTTGATAAATTCGGGGTGCCATTTTTATTTGTCACAAAGAAAACGGGAGAAAAAAAACAACGAAGAAAATGAGGAACTGTGTAAATCAGGTCAGCTCTGTTCAAACTTCCCGAAATTTATCATTACATATATGAAGTACTGTGAAGAGAAAACAGTAAAATGAAAGATTTAAAAATGTTTCGGAGGACTTCCCTCTATCATTTTGGACTATAGCGTCAGTAATCAAATGATAACTTGCTGTTGATATGATAATGCCGCATATTCAATTCTAAAAACTTCTAAATTCTTTTTTTTATCTAAAACACTTCAGTGCAAAACAGTTTCAGATGGTATCAATTTCAGTTGATAACCTTGAACTTGATTAATCAAAAAAATTTGGTTCAATTAATAATAAATTTTGGATGCTATTAATTAAAACTAATTTTTCTACATCGAAAACATTTAGAATTTAAGGGTAAAAAGCTGACTGTGCAACAATGATTAAATCTGCAATTTCATGAATTTTTTCCTATCTCACTTGTTTCTGATGTCTTAGAATTAGAATTACTGTATCGATAGTTCGGTTCCCGAAATAGATTTTTTAACAAAATAAATTGCTAATGAATTAATTCGTCAAATTCTTTGTTAAACTCTTTTTCATATCTTTCTTCATGAAGTTATTTTTATGAAATATTTGAAACATCAAACGATGCTTTTACAGGGCTATCACTCTATGAAGCCATATTTTTCATGGCT